GACTCTGCCGGTAGCAAGGTTTTGCTGACGTAGAAGATGGGTAGATGTTTGATTCCTTCCGACCGGACAAGCACTGCACTGACTGCATGCTGCGATACGGCCAGATAAAGGTAGAGTTCTTCTCCGGGCTTCGGTGTGACCAACAACGGTGCTGAAGACAAATACTCCTTGAGCTCGGCCAAAGCCCGGTCACACTCTTCATCCAATGAGAACTTTGATTTCAAGGCTTGAAAGAAAGGGCGGCAGCGATCTGATGACCGGCTTATAAATCGGTTAAGCGTGGCGGCCATTCCGGCCAGATGCTGCACATCCTTAGCCAAGCTAGGCTGTTTTAACTCTTGCACGGCTCGGATTTGTGTAGGGTCTACTTCGATACCTCGGTTCGTGACTAGGAAACCCAAAAAATTTTCGGATCCCACGCCGAAGGCACACTTAGACGCATTCAGGCGTAGCTTGTGCTTTTTAAGAATGGCGAACATCTTGGCCAAATCGGACAAATAGTCTGCCTGATGCCGGCTCTTAACCACCATATCATCAATATAAGCCTCTATTGTCCGGCCTAGCAGAGGAGCGAACATCTTGGTCACCATCCTTTGAAAAGTTACCCCAAGTTCTTCAAACCAAAAGGCATGACTCGGTAGCAGAAGAGTCCCCTTGTAGTGAATGAGGTGATCTCTCGGTCCAGGCCATGCATGGCAATCTGATGGTAGCCGCGGTAGGCATCCAAGAAACTGAGCCTGTTATTTCCAGTCGTTAAATCCACAAGCTGGTCAATTCTAGGCAGAGGGAAGCTGTCTTTCAGGCAGGCTCGGTTGACGGTCTTATAATCCACACAGACTCGCCACTTCCCATTTTTCTTGGGCACCACGACCGTGTTCGAAATCCACCGAGGATAGTGCACTTCCTGAATTGCGCGTGCCTCAAGCAAGTTCTTCACTTCCTCCGCAACTACCTCGACGTGACGCAATGCCGATCTCCTTGTTCGCTGAATGACCGGCTTGGCTTCGGGGAAGACATTGAGATGATCGCATATAAAACTCGGATCGAGACCGGGCATGTCGTAAGGTGACCATGCGAAGACTTCGATATTGGCCATTAAAAACTCAACCATGTCGGTCATTTCTTGGGCTGTAAGGCTTGAGCCGAGCAAGAAGAACTTGTCTGGATGCTCTGTATCAATGCGCACTTCCACCAATTCCTCGACAGCTTTGTCCTCGGCCTTGGTGCCCACATCGTCAAGGACTCCCCGGTCTTCCGGTCCCTCAATCATTTGAACGAAGCCTTTGGCAACTCGGCTCCCATGACCGCCACGAAGCATTGCTTCCACATGACTTGATCGCCCCAAATCTCCTCGATTGCCCCCATAACCGAGGGAAATCTCATTACCTGATGATAGGTCGACGCTACGGCTTGCATAACGTGAAGCCATCCCCTTCCAAGGATCAAATTATAAGTGGATGGCACCTGCAACACCTAGAACTCCACTTGTTTGACCACGGATCCCGCTTTGACCGGCAGGATAATCTTTCCATAAGGCCACTCCGATTGTGAGTTGAAACCAACTAGTGGCGAAGTTGCCGGGGCCAAATCTGTATCCCGGAGCTTAAGTTGTTTGAAAGCGTCGTAGTACATGATCTCGACCGAGCTTCCCTGATCGATCAAGATCCGTTTGACATCAAATTCTTTGACGCGGAGTGTAACCACTAGGGTATCGTTGTGCGGCGTCTGAATGCACTCTAGGTCTTTTGAGGAGAAATTGATCACATCTTTCTCTTCGGTCTTCCCTCTCTTGATCGCAGGCTGAACCGACAAAACTTCCCTCATGTGTTCTGCCTTCTTGATCATACCTTGGAGCTCGCATACATACGCCGGTTCCATTATGCCGTGGATGACATTAATAACCCCTTGTGGAGGCGCATCTCGGTCATCCGGTCCCCGCGGGTCAACCGGAGTTTGATTAGCCTTCACACCCCCATCAATGTAAAGGTTCAGGTGTCCGGCTGCGACTAGCTCTTCCAAGTGTTGCCTCAAAGGCAAACAGTCCTCTGTCCGATGGCCTCGCTCCCGGTGAAACGTGCAACGGTACCTCGGATTGAAGCCCTTTTGTCCGTCGCCTAACTTAGCAGAAAACCGGACATACTTCTTGTCACGGATTTCACTAAGTATGCAATAGATTGGAATCTTAAAGACCGTGGTGATGCCTATCCTTGCTTTCAACCTTCTGTTTGCATCGGCTACGTCATCCCAGGGGTAGTCATCCCGGTCATTCCAACGTCCCCTACCCCGGTTTTTGCGATTTGAGCCACGGTCCAATTCCTCAGCGCGGTCACTTGATCGGCTGGACTCCTGTCCGACCGCATGCACTTTGCCAGCTGACCTTTTGTCTGCTACTACCGGAGTTGTTTTCGCGGTAGATGCCGATGCATCATCCTCCACACGGATGTGCTCATTGATGCGCTGCATTAGCTGGCCCATGGATGTCGGTTGGTGCATGGTAAGCGAGTCCTGCAGTCTATGTCCAACCGGGAGACCTCGCTTGTATTGTGTGATTGCAAGGTTGACCGGGCAATTCAAAATCTCGTTGAAGGTCTCCCAATATCTGAAGTTGTATGCCTTCAATGTGTCGTTCGGTTCCATTTTGACACTCAGCAGGTGGTCAACTTTCTTTGGTGTTTTTGTGTTGGTTTTGAAGTGCGTCACGAAGGCCTCGGCCAACTGATGCCACCTTTCTATGCTCCCCTCCAGCAATCTCGTGAACCATTTCAAGCTCAGTTCGCCTAAACTTGACGGGAAGATAAGGCACATAAGTGCGTCATTCCGCCTATGCCCAGTCATGACCTGTCGGGAGTGACTCACATGCATGTAGGGATCGGTTTTTTCGTCGTAGAGTGTGAATTTAGGCTGGTGGAAGCTTGCCGGAAGCGGTGTTGTTTCTATCTCCAAGGAGAAAGGGGTGGCGCTCAGCCTTGCCAAGTCTATATCTAGAAGGAGTGGCGCTGCTTAGCGGGGTGGAGGCATTCCAACCTCTTCGCTGGCGTGAACCCCATAGGATAGCCGCTGGAACGCCGGCACCCTCTAAGCCTCCCGCCGGCGAGCTCGTTCCTTCAAGGCTGCCCGCAAATCCTCTGAACGAGCGAAATAAGAATACCTCGACGTCGTCACCGTGAGGGTCGATAGGTGCTATCTTGGGCGCTGGACTTCTCTTTGTGCGGGTCAGAATCTCCAATCTTGTAACTTCTGGTGATGGAAATGGACGCAGAGTGTCGCGGACTCTGATTGCCTGAACTGCGGGGTTGGGTGCGCTCACTGTGGTCTCCCACTCCAGCTACATCCTTCCCTTTAACATGCCGCTTCAGCTCCTCCATCTCCGCCGCCATTCGCCGGATGACGGCATCTTGGTCCCTTAACTTGTGTTCCAGACGTCTGGCATGTGATTCTCTCCACCGCTGATGACCGTCTGGACTCCGTGAATGACCATAACTTCTTCCGTGCTTATCCCGTGCATCTCTTGAATGTCCTCCTGGAGAAGTCTCTAGGTCTGCCATCGGAGGAACGATGGTGGGATGCCCTTCTCTCCGTCTGCCTGACTCTGGGGTGACTCCGTCGATGGCAGACAACGGAATCTCGTCATTGTTCGCCATGGACGGCGATCAGATGAGCCTGGAAGATAAAGTTTTGTCTTTCAAAGCTTCCCATAGATGACGCCAATTGTGCCGGGAGCAAATATTCAGGCAAGCCCGCACTCCTTTCTTCCAAGCTCTTGCCTGTCCGATCGTCGCAGAAGGTATATAAGCATGTCTGCGCCCCCCATGCTTGTGGATGACACAATTTGGTGAGAAAAACACTAAACACAACTCAGTCCTCTCTCTCTCTCTCTCTATCCCTGTGTGTGTCTCATCTAAAAAAAGAAAGTTTGCAACTTTGGAATATTAAAATTATTGTATGCCTCATCCATATATTACAATCACAACATGCCTCATCCACATAAAACCACCAAAACTATGATCAGAACAATAGTAGAAATTGTATGCCTCTGTATTGTTACATCTATATCTGTTTTTGAAAATAAAAATCAACCAGTATATATCATCTTTTTTATTTATTATTTTTAGAGTTAGATTTAAAAATCAAAAAATATATTCAAGTTGAAAATTGTTTTTCAATAGAATATATTCAACTAGAGGAGAGCAGGGGATTTATCGATCCGTCCAAACCGACTGAACCGAACCAATCCGCCGCATTTTGGACGAATGCGTGATGACGAGCGGACGGTTGCAGATTGATTTTTTCCAATCAGCTTAGTTTTAAACGGATGAAAGATTTGAGATTCCTTTGACCGCAACTGAATCGCCAAACCGCAAGCACCTCTAGTAATTTGTAAGACTGTGTTTTTAATTTGTTTAAATATTCTGTTTGTATTTTCAATTGAAAAAAGTTTAGGTTGTGCTTGATAGAGCTTTCTAAATATGATTTGAGAGTAGAAATTATATTTCGAGTTTGTGAGTTTTGGAATTATGATTTAAGTGTAGAAAATTTGTTTGGTAAAAGAGTTTTGAATTGAGTGAAAATTTTTTGATATGACATATGATATTTGATACAAAAACTTACAACTCATAACCAAACATACAATTCAAAATTTTATTAAAGCACATAAAAATTTTTAAAAATTCAGAAAATATTTTTTTCGAATATATAAAAATTAACATATCAATTGCAAAAAAATAAAAAAAATTACACTGTTCCGGGCAACCGGCGACTGGTGGGACGTCCGGTTAGACCATATTTCAAAAAAAAAAAAATTTGAAAATTGCGCCACACAGAGTTTTCTGCCGAGTTTTCTAAATGTTGTGGAAATCTACTTTGAACATCCTATCCAAACATCATATTAAAATGTGAGGATAGAATCATAGTTTGGCAATCGTTCTACACAGCCTTAAATATTCTGTTGAATTATCCTTTCTGTATAAACAATGGATCCAACATATATTTTTTTCTGCAATAAATTGAACGTGGAAGTTTGGTGAGCAAAGAAGGTTGGTAAACATTACTGTCAACTGTCAAATATTGTACAAATAAAACTCACCATGACCATTAAATTTGTTCTTCGTTCTTGTCAATCATCTAATTGAATCTATATAAATTGAAAAAGAAAATATTTGCACACACCATGTTTATAGAATGGTGGTTGTTCAATTTGTTCTACATTTTTCTTTTTTTGTTGTCGTTTACAATATTGCCTCTTGAATGTATAATAATCTAAGATAATTCTCCTACAAACTAATTTTTCTCAAGTGTGTTGACTCCTCTGGATCCTGCAATCCCCATAGTCTGGTCTGCTGCTGCATAACCAATGCCGAAGCGCTGCATTCAAAATCCGAGGAAGCAAGTATTTCACCGATTGACCCCAATTCCCCACGCTGTTTCCACTTCCCGAGCTGAAGCATGATGTTCGAGTCTCCGTGGCGTCTGCCCACCATGACAAGGTCATAACCATTCTCCAACACTGCTCTAGTCACCCTGAGCACATCCATACCAGTGCTCACCACCTCTTCCTGGTACAAAACTTGCTCGCTTTGATTCAAGTTGAGCTTGAAGTGGCTCAAGATATCGGCATCGAGCATCCTGCTCCGTTCCGTACCCCCCACGATTGGAATTGCGGGGTTTGAAGCAGCGAACCGTATCAGACTGAGCATTACATTGGGATGTTGCGACATTCGTCGAGCATATGCTAGTGCTTCGCGATCATCGGCGCCCCCAAAGAAGAGCACCGCAACTCGGTATGACGAAGGATCGGCTATTATGTATCGGGACTTGCGGTTACCCCGGTCTATGAGGATTCCAACCGAACAAGGGGACCTGTCGAGTACATTCTTGTTCAGGTGCCTAAATGCATATGAGGTCTCTACCCTTTGCCCGTAGACCCATAGCTTGTGGAACGGTACAATAATGAGAGTCGTTCGCTTTTCTAGAGCAAGAGAGCACACGTCGTTGTGCATTGTTGCATAAGGCGAAATGCCCTTGTAGCAGTGGACAAAGAGGCGGCCATTGCTCTGTAGTTCGAGCTTTTTGAAGGCATTGAAGATTCGTTCAGAGATGGTAGGGGTGGGAGAAGGCTTCTCACGTTCCCGGTGTGCAATGAGCAGGGACGAGGAACGGCCCATGAGCTTAACGAGGTGGAGGACAACTAAATTTACAGGGAACTCTGATCTGGGAGAACTGGATACTTGAAGAAGGGTCATGATCGCTTGTACATTTTCTTGGCCATGGACACAAGCTAGTACCCGAAGTTCATCGTTGTGCCTGAGGTGTAGAATAGTCCTCCTCTTGTAAGCAACGTACCTTTTCGAAGGGTCATACAAGACTTTCACAAGAGGAGAGATTACCCCCGTCACTAGCACCACTGAGATTATCATTATGGTATAGCATTCTTCATTTATGATCTGCATATGTAATTACAAGACTGTTTGATGAGAGTGAAAATGATAGAAACTGAAGTGACAAAGGGATTTAAACAGAAAATTTCTTCTCTAATATATGGATTTGGTTAATATGAAATTTTTGTTTCCCTCATTTTTCACCACTTTCATACTAACGAAACTCAGAGAATGTGAAAAAGTGGAGAAGAAGATAGCTTACTTTGGATTGCTTCCAATCATTCAATAAAGCAAGTTCAACAATGCCTTTGGAGTTCATGATGAGGCCAAGAGAGAGGGCATCTCGGAATGGCATCCTGCAGAAGAGCGGGGGTAACATTGTCCCCATAATCTTTCCAATGAAAGCAGCTAAAACAACCAACAGCATAACACCCGCATTTCTCAGTTTCTCTATAGCGAAAACATCCATCTGTAGCCCACAGATTGTGAAAAAGAGTGGCATCAACAGAACCGAAACAAAACAATCCAGCCTCTCCACTAATGCAGCTCCTAATGGTGGCCCATCCGGTATCACCAAACCAATAGCTAGAGCTGCCATAATGGAACTCAGGCCAAGAATTTCACCCACAAGTCCACAGCACATTAACGTTACAAGCACCGCAGAGATATATCTCTCCTTAACAGGTCTCCCTTCTGGGGTATGTCTGATTATCCACAAAGCTGCTGGACGGACTCCAAACACAATAACAACTATATAGAGGACAGCTGATAGAAATGACCCAACTGATAATTTAAATGATTTCGCCATAGCTAGCTTCGCTGCATACTTCACTGACATGATGGTCCAGTGACATATATCACAGATTATTGAGGATGAAGAGGCTAATCGTCCAATCTCTGAATTAAGGATCTTGAGGTCGTCGAGAAAGCAGGCCATAACAGGGAAGGCTGTCATGGACAGCATGATTATCAAAGAGGGAAGCACACTGGAGATCTCGTGGTCCAAAGATAGGAATTGCTGGAGAAGGAAGGCAACAAAACTGGCCAGTCCATAAGGAATGAAAAAACCTAGTATTCCTATAGCTAAAGTTTTTTTGCCTGATCTTAAGACCATGCTCGGATCCATTTTCACTCCAATTAGGAAGATGAACAGCGTGAATCCGAAAATTGAGAGCGTATCAAGTATATTTTTGCCTTTCTTGGGGAATAATTTTGTTGAGAATGAAGTATTTTGGCCAAGAATAGACGGACCCAATACAACACCACCCTGCTCCACACAGATTATAAAACACATACAACAGCAATTAGCAAAGTCCCTCATCAGGTTCTTATAGTTTTAAGTCACACGTCAAGGATTTTTTTTTTCACTTGCAATTTGCAAAATATGTACTGATATGAAACAATAATCACAAGAGGGTCCTCATAGTGGAGACACAAAAACAAAGACCAAGGAAGTTTAGCCATTAGAATGATCTAGAGCTTAACTATGCAAGAATAATAGTAATTAAAATTTCTAGTGCAATAAGAATTCAATATTCGCTGCCAGATTATTCAAAATGCGAGGCAGCATTGAGCAGGTTTTGCTAAACCTGGACAAAAAACAAAAACCTATGGTTAACTGAAAGCAGATTGTTACCGTACGAGAATAAGGAACCGAAAATTGATACTCCACGTCCTCAATTGTGGTACCATAGAGGTAGGCTTACAGCATAATTATAATATAAGGTACTTTAAAAAATAATTAAAAACACCTTTGTAGAATCATTATGATGCTTTTCTTTTCTTTTCTTTCCCTTTTTAAACATTTTTTTGCCTAGCCAAAACTCCACCCACGCTAGATTTTAGTTTAGTATAATTAATCTTTTTATCCTAAGAAAAATGCTTAAAAAAATAAACAAGAAGAATTTGAGAACCAATTTGGTTCGCTAAATTCACCATAATATTTTCGAATGTGTGCTCTAAAACCTAAATAACACGGGATATCCTGTCATCTGTCAAGTTACTTTCTACTATACATACTTTTTTTTGGCTCGAGACAAAAAACCCAATTTAATTCTAAGGCAAATTTCATTTTACGCTGGTAGTTTGGGTCATGTGTAGTTTATCTCCTAATATTTAAAAATGACCACATAATCATCACGTGGTTTATGGATTGAAGTGCACTGTGAAACATTTCATCGAACTTAACAGTAAGTGTGAAATATGTGACGAGAGGTTATATACTCATTTTCAAATTTGAAAGCGATAAATAGCACATAGAATAAATCACAGGGTTAAAGTGTACTTTGGTAAATTAATAATGAAAATATCCGCAGTTCACATATAGGGGTATTTTAGTCTTTTTCTTATTAAATAGTTAATGGGTACATTTCAGTCCACAAAGATTACGTGGTCATTTCCAAACATTAACATTAAACCGCACATGCAAGTTTGTCCTTAATTCTATAACAAAAATAACTAATATAAGTACATAAGCAACAAAACATTTTCAATTGAATATTGCATTGGAAACAGGACAGATTGATAGCTTTCATTGATCAAAATTTCACATTTTTTATTTTAATGAATTTTTCTTTATAAATTCCTAATTTTTTTCGTATTGGGAAGCAATTCACCACGATTCAATAATATTATGAAGAATTGAAGAGAACAATAAATAAATAAATAAATAAAAGCGAATAAGAGGAATAGAAAATGAGGGAATTGAGAGCTTACGAGAATTTGGGAAACAATCAAGGGTTGGCCAAAGGGCTTGAGAACGACGTAGACGAAGCGAGTGATAATGGTGATGAGGGACAATTGCAACATTAGGGTTGGGAGTGAGTAGTCGAGAGGGTTGTTGCCGTGCCATATCCCACCTGAGTTGATTTGGTGAACGTTGTGGCAAACGTAAGGAAGACTCACACGAACCCTACCTCCATGGATTTCCTTGAGATGTTGATGGGTGGCTCCTTCACCTGCGTTCATGGCCGAACCCATGCCGGTCTTTGATCGATCGACCCACCACCTATTCTATCATCATGTCCAATGCATTGGGAGTTTTGATTTGGAAATTAGGGTTAGGTACGTAGAACAGAGAGAGAGAGAGAGAGAGAGCGAGCGTACTTGAGAGGATTGAGAGATGGATGGAGGAGCACCAGAGTTGGAATTGCATGCCAGAGACGGACAGAGAGAGAAGGGGGTAAGGGTATGGCGTGGGGAAAGGAGTAGTTGCATGTTTTCTCATATTAAACGTTGACCACTTACCAAAATGTGTAAATATAGGGGGGATTATGTCGTTTTCAAAAATAAAAAATAAAAAATATTATATGTACCAATTAATATATTAACTAATATATTAATAGATGAAATGACATAATTTTAGAAGTTTTGAATATTTATAATTTGTATAATAGGTTGGATCAATAATAATGTCATAATACGAGTTGATATACTAATATATATATTAATTGATGCATGTAGTACCACCGATAAAAAATTGAATCCATAATCTTCGGAAATTTTGTATCATACACATGCAAGCATCTGCATAAATTTTATAATATTATTAAAAATAATGACTTAGTCTTTAGTGTTAAAAAAATGCAATTATTACAACATCCATACGATTTCTCAGCCACATTATTTACAAAGACACTATCATCCCCATTTAAAAGTCTATTGAATTTGTTAACAAATTTCCAGATGAAATCCGTGACAAAACCCAACTACAAAGGTTCCTTGGAAGATTAAATTATATTTCTGATTTTTATAAAGACCTCTACAAAGATACTAAAATCTTATATACTTGTATCCGAAAAAATCCTTCTTCATGGACCCATGAACATACTGTGACAGTCCAATGAATTAAACAAAGAGTAAAATTCTTATCCTAATTATGTTTACCAATTCCTACTACTTACAAAATTGTGGAAACAGATGCTAGCGATATCAGTTATGGTGACATCCTCAAACAATTATATAAAGGTAAAGAACAAGTAGTTCGTTTTACCTCTGCAATATAGAAAGAACCACAAACACATTATTCTATTATTCAAAAGGAAATATTGTCTATTGTTTCCTGTATTAAAAAATTTGAATCTAATTTATTAAGTTAAGAATTTTTATTACGTATTGATTGCAAAGCTGCCAAAGAGGTTTTAGAAAAGAATGTCAAGAATATTGTTTCTAAACAAGCCTTTGCTCGTTGGCAAGCAATTTTTTGTGTTTTTGATTTTAGAATTGAATATATATATGAGGTGAATTAAATTCCTAGCCTGATTTTCTTACTCGTGAATTTTTACAGGAATCTCCAGACATTGCCCAATCAGGAGTTCAGCCCCTATCAAAGCAATTTAAATATCACCACATTTTTAATCATTATCGCAAACGAAGAATCCGCGTTCAAACATATTTTTACTGGATGGCTTATAGACTAATAACTCCTCATAGGCTGCTTCCTCCAAAGGATGACTCCATTTATCTCATACATCAACTGATCACGACTATTATACCCATGATGTTGGTTATCCCATTACCCCATTATTGTTGACCATTCCACCTTTTCCCTCAAAAACCTAGACACTAAGCCAAAAACCATCATATCTCATTATTTTCCAAACAATTGGCATTATCCTCAACATTCTGGCCAACACTCTAGAATTTGCTACGAAAAAAATCTTGAAGAAACCCGTTCTATCACCGTGGAACATGTTTATTCCAGAGATGATAAAAGTCTTCTCCAATACTCCAAACTCCACATACTCAAAATAATTTCTCCCAGGGAATGAGGACATCCGACAATCTTTCGCAAATTTTCCGATCCAAATATCAAACCAAACCAATATGATTATTATGATTACCAACAAGCTTGGTACTATGTCTTTTACTTCCAAAATAGGATCTTCCAACACTCATAGTGGATCCGTTTTAGACCCAATTTTGATATTTTAACAAAATTAATTCCCACTTGGTTCGAGCCATGGTGGACTTAATTTGGTCTACAATTTGAAGCTTTGCCAGAACCCCTCAAAGAGTCCTATGATATTTATCGGAAGGAGACCAACCCTCCTTACCTAGAATTTTTATATTTTACAGTAGATTTCAAATTTCCATGGATTATGGCTTGGGAATATACTATTCGAGTACTTGGCAACACTCAATATCTTGCCCGCCAAATTACAACAAAATGGTGGAAAAAATTATAAAATTTCATCCGACCAATTTCCTGATAAATTAATTTCATCCTATAAAGATTGTAAAAAGAAGACTGCCATCAATATAACTCCATCAGTAATGTTTTCCAATCCAAAATCAAATAGTCTTTTGATTATAATGCCTTTAAGGAAGAATTAAAACAAAAATTAAAGGAAAAGTATCCCTTAATTTTTAGATCCGAATTTGAACACAAATACAAAAAGACCATCAAAATAAAAATGATCCTTATGGCCGATGCGGAGTCTCTTTCCAACTCGGATGATGATCTTGTATTAGAATCTCTTCCTCAAATTCTCACAAAATCCAAACAATCTTAAGTTTCAACACCAAAAATTATCTTCCCCCACTACCTCCACCAAATCCTCTCCAAAAATTCCTACCCAAAATCTTGATGATTATTATTCTGACACGTGTTAGGGTATCAACCTTAATAATCTGTGAACCATGTGACTCTCAGGACAATAATTCCCTCAGCATCCAAAGCTTTGTGAACCATGTGACTCTAATTCCCTTAGCATCCAAAGACTTCACCGACAGTCACAATTGCACGCCACCTCATAAAGTTAAACAAAGGATGATTCCATCACATGCATGCCAGAAGACAATTCAAAAAATAATCATTAATGCTCTCTCCACCGACAAAGCAAAGGCAATCAAACAAACAAAAGAATAAAGCCATAAAGCAAAAAACAGATTCCCTCGGATTTCAACTCATTTCAATTTCAAACTCCTTCATCTATATAAAGCTAGCCAGACTTCAAAAGAGGGCATGTTTTCCTGAATATCAAAAGCTTATCGTAATATCGTGTGAGAAAATTTGAGTGTGTTTCCAGTGTATCAAGAGTGTGACTGTATGCTATGTCCAATTTGTTGCTAGGATTGTGACCTATTATAAGTTTTCTTTATTTTGATTTCGCATTTTAATATAGGGATTGTTTAATTTCTTATCTGCGTCAAGAAATTAATAATAGTATTCAATATATTTATGATTTAAAAGATGAATTAACTAATTTAAGATTATTATTATCTCTTGCATCTGATCAATCAATTATTAACTATTGTCAAAGAATTGCCACAATTAAAGGAAAAATAAAAGATGAACATGCCTGTCTAAAATGTCTCCAAAAACAATTATAGTTTGTAATCTATGCGTAAACTGTATCACTCACTTAGTATTAGAATCTCGCACTTAGTTTGGTATCAGAACCAAGTCAACGACTTAAAACCCATATCAGTCAGGCCGGTCAGACCGGTCCTGTCACGCCCCAAAATCCAGACAATTAAATATTAAATTAAAACTAAACCCCAATAACATTCCATCATCCAAATCTTAGGGGTGAAACAAAAACTAAAGGCCAACCAAAACATCCACCATAATTCCATAACTAACCAATACCTCAACATTAAAGTAACAATAACTTAAATAATATACGTTTACAACCCATTCTAAATTATTCCAATACTAAAGCCATAAAGAGAATAATAAATATATAGACTAATATCAATCCTAAGCTCAATAAAACAAAATAAGTCCAAACGACAGGTCCAACACTATCGTAAATCCACGTCTCCACCGTAGCCCCAACTAATCCTGCAAAGGAAGCTCAGCTGTGCTTAAACAGAACGCACTCGAGTTGCCAAGAGACAAAACAGGTCAGTATACAGGTATACTGGTATGAGTACAAGAATTGACACCCACGTGTCCACCAGACACAAACAAAAAGTACATTATTTCTTGTTACGGAACAAGACAAGTAGTTCCAACCGTACCGAGACGAATGGGTAGTTTCTCGAGATACGGTGATATTTAGTTTCTTGTCCGTACACAACGAAATATAAATTGATTATAAAATAGACAAAATAGAAATAAAAATATGGTGGGTCATCCCTCCATAAAAAGTTAGTAAGACCCACCATCTTGTAAAAAAAATAAAGTTAGTATAATTTAATCATAAGTAACTCGCTGAATAAATATAAAAATGCACCGTTTCCTACTTAAATAATTTGAATTGAACAAAACTCAAAGAACTAAAGTTGTACAGAATCAAATTTTCTAAAAGACATCGCGAACGAATTTAACATAAACTGAACAAGTTAAGAGAAAAACTTGATCTAAAAATCTAGACGGAATTCAATTGAAAAATTTGAAGCTGAAAACGAACAAAAACTTCCCTAAGACGATTTTTTTGCGAAAAAGTTTAAAACATGAAAAGTGTGCAGAATAATGTTTTACTTCAATTTACGCGAAACCAATAAAAATGAGCTCATTTCGTGAGTTAAAACAGCCTATAAAATCTGCATTACCAAAATGAATCAAACTGACAATAACCAAGGTCATCCGATTATAAGTTCTAATCGATCTTTTTAATAAAAACTACAACAGAAAAGTTATCTAGAATCACATATACATGCTTCTGCTCGAATTTCATAATTTATCAAGATCGTTTACTATTTTTTTTTATCATGTACATAACAGTACCATACACACTATACTGATAAATTCATAATTAAATTCTTTGTTCCTTAACTCCACCACTTCGGCTCTCCCCTTCCGGCCTACACATATATCCCATTTGCCTCCCGTATACCTAACACCGCTCCGAAACCAAACTTGCACGGGGATATTGTCCCGAGTTTGACTCACACTCCCCGGATGGTTAGCATATACGTACGCGCGCAAATCAAAGCACTTGTCTACTTATGAGAACGAGGCAACAATATATATATACACAATATCTCACACATGAGAATAAACATAACAATGCCGAGCCTAAGGCATTCAAATAAATCCCATAATCCTCCCCTTTTTTTTTTTATACAGGAGAAAGTGATTTTCTTTCTCACCATCACTCAAATAAAACAACAAAAAGGAATTTATCTATGGGTTCCTAATTAATTTTAAATTTCATATAACCATGAGTGTGATTACAACAATAAAATAAATCCATATAAAAATCCTAAATTTGACATAGCCAACTAATCAAAATAATTAAATTCAATCAATAAAAATCCTAA